TCACCTTGTGTAGTAACGATGGTTCTTCGAGATGTGCCCCGTGGGTGCTCCACGTCCCGCCCTCCTCCCCGCTCCGTTTGAAAGGGTGCGAAGGACCAGCGGCACAGGGAGCATACGCGGTACGGCCCGGTATGGCTATAAAATCTCCCGATCAGTGGCGCCGGGACGGACCCGACACCTAGAGTGGAGCACCCACGGGGCACATCTCGAAGAACCATCGTTACTACACAAGGTGAGTAACTTCCCCTTTAAACAACTTAATTGTAGCCGGGTGGTTGATGAAATTTTTGCGTATAAAAAGTAAAAAATAATAAAGCACTGTAAAACTGAAAACAAAAATTTGGTTTTCTCCAAGTTTCAGTTGTGTTGATGTACCCCCCCAAGACTTCTCTCAAGTACTTCCAAAGGGTACTTGTACTGCTGGTTGAGAAACACTGTCTAATGCACATTCCACTTTGTCTCTAGTGGGTTTTTTCCAAATCATGCTTCAAGTGCATACACAATTAATTATGACCACTGATCCTCCTTCTTAAGGACTAATCACTGACTAGGATCCCACCAGCACTTCTTTCATCTGCAGCTCAGAACTCTTTTCCCAAGTTTCTTGTCTTATTCTTGTGCAGATTGAATTTTCTTTTTCTGTTCTTCATTTCTAGGATTTACTTTCTGCCTGTATCCTCAGCTCCTCCTCCCCACTCAATCTTTTTTCCTTCTCTTCCATTTCCTTTCAGAGCAACATTGACTCTGTTCAACAAGGTCACTTAATCCTGTACCACATGGAGGATCTCCCTCCCCACGGTACCACTTCAAATACAGCAGAACTCAGCATGGCTGCAGTATAAACAAGGAAGTACCCTTTGCTAAAAAGTAATTTTATACCCTACTCTATTTTGGCAAGGAACAGTGAGAAATAATAGAGAAAGCCCAGGCAGAGGCAAGGTGTTCCTACTCGGGATCTTTACCATGTCTAGGGATTCACTGTCTCCCTGTTCATATTAGATGAGGGGGAAAAAATCCTAAACTACCCGAATACAGTCCATAATTTCTCCCAGTTTATTTGTGGTTTATAATAATAGGGTTAGAGGACAGACTATTTCCTCCCAACGCTTATATTAATTGATTAAATCCTGCAAATAAACCATCAGTGACCTAGTAGGTATCCCCAAACCTGAAGGGGTCAATTCTACAGTGGCTTCTAAGGGTGCATGTACACTGCACCATTATTTCGAGATAACTAGCATTATTTTGAAGTAACAGTGCGAGCATCTACACAGCCATTCCATTATTTCAAAATAAATTCAAAATAACGGACAGCATATTCCGAAATCTGTAAACCTCATTCTACGAGGAATAGCGTCTATTCCAAAATAGCTATTTCACTCCACTGCTGCTATTTCAAAATAGCCCCTCACCGGGGCCGTTCTAAGTTATTCCTCCCCAGTGCCTCCTGGGGCCTTTAAATCGAGATAGCACGTCTACATTAAGGAAGCCTGCCTCGGACTAATTTTGAGGCTTCCCTGCAGTGTAGATATGCTATTTTGGAATAACTATTCTGGAATAGCTTATTCCGAAATAGCTGTGCAGTGTAGACATATCCTAAGACATGCCTTAGAAATGTCTCATTGTGGAAACCTGTGGAACTGCTATTTGAAGTTCAGTCCACATGGCATTATTTTCTTCACGTGACTGAGATTCGATGTCCATTCTGGGAGAACAGTTCTTCAGTCATTCAGTTAAAATCCTCTCCTTTTCATCTTTTTTATGGATCTGTTGTTCCTTATAATTAGGGTATTCAAAAGCATATTTGCTGTCAGTGCTGCCACAAAGGGAGAGAAAAAATACCTGTACTGGAGTTCTCTGAGTAGATTGAAACTATCAATTTATGTTCCTCAATTTCTTAGAGACCAAGAGACCAATCAATATAAGCTCTAAAGAACTGGGGAGTGTTTGTAGAGCTTTAAAGAAATTCATAGAAAGGACACTGAAGCACTTAGGACCATATCATACATCAGATATAATATCCAACTACAGTGTATTTTGTGCCCATGTGACTCTGGACAGCCCTTCATCCCTTTAATGTTCCTAACTTCCTCTGTGAAGTCTTCACTGAGGTTACTACAGCTCTGAACTGTATGTGTGGGGAGGACTCAAATGAAGGACTGTCAGGCATGCTATTTGGAAGAACAGAGATTGATGTATAAAAAGAATAAATGACCTTTATTCAGGTTTACCTATTTTGAAAATGTGTCTTGTTACAAATATAAAACTTTCCCAGAACACCCTTCTGTGCCCCAAAAGTCCAAGTGGCAAGTTTTAGGCAGGTTTTTTATCTTTTACAAAGTGTGTATGTGTTGGGTGAACGGATGGCATGGATTTGATCTTAGAAACTCTCGTCTTATCCTTATCCTATTTTTCTTCTTAAACTCTGGCACTTCATGTTGCTTCTTAAGTCTGCAGAATCTCATTTTATTTATAATAATTGCAAGTTCAGAACATTCCAACAAACTTTAATTAAGATGTAACAATGTCCTAGTAACCATTGATGAATAATACAAACAAATATGAGGAGGTTTCTAAATCAACCATTATTGATAGATGCTTTGGATTGGAGAAAAAAGAAACAGTATTAGTATTAGTGTAGTAGTAGAAGAAGAAGATTCTTTTTTTAAAATAACTCCCCCTGAACTTTCCAACATCCTGTTGTTCAAAAATAATTTGCCTTATTAATCTTGAATTCTCCTGTCATAAAGACAAAGAATTTCAAAAGTGATGAGTGATTTTGCATGTCTAACTTGAGACACTTAAAAAGCCTGAGTTTCAGAAAGTGTGTGCTTAGCATTTATGTAAAATCAGGTACCTGCAAGATGTCTCAAGTTTGAGAACCTAAAGCTGGCATCTAAATCACTATATTTTATTTTATTTTATTTTATTTTATTTTATTTTATTTTTTGACCCAAGTGGATGGGTAAATTGACATACAAAATGGGTGCTCCAAACAGGTCAGAGCTAAGAAAACTGAATGCATTCATTCTTCCCAGTATAGGGAAAAGAACCAAAAGCAACAACACACACCATAGGTTACCATAAATAACTTTATAAGGCTGTCAGCCAAATATAATATTAGATTCACTTGCCAGATCTGAGCCAGAGCTTCTCTGACTAACCCCCTTTCTCTTCAAGTTTCATTTTTCTTATTCTGTCTCCTGTGGTTCTGATTCGTATTTACTAACCTGTTGCACCCATGACTGTAGCAGGAGTTAGCTGATCTAACTGTTCCATTCATTAGCAGCCCAGCAGTGATTCAGATTAGCTTTTTGCATACACCCTGTATGTGCATTGGTCTATTTGTCCTAATTCTAATTTTCTGGAAGGAAAGAAAAAAAATTACCTTTCACACTGTATTCATATAGCATATACTTCTACCATTCAGAACATGGAAGCCTAGTACAGGAAAGAGATAATCTCAAAAGGTTAAAGTCTCTTGATTTTACACACAGTCTTAATAGTGTTGTCTGTCAAAAAATGTCATAAAAAGACTTACTTTTGTTTTGCCCCAGAAAAAGTTAAATTGAGTCAATTCTAAAAATCTATAATATCATTTCTGTGATGCCTCACACACACAGAGAAAAATATGACCAACCCAGCTAATATCAAGTGAAGCTTGAGAAAGCCTCAGGTTGGAATTAGATATCTGGCCTCAGGTGAAGCCAGTTTCATGGTGATGGCAAATCCTGTGTGATAGTGGTTTTTTTTAACTCTTTCCACTACATTATTCAGTGTTTAGTAAAATCCACAGTAAAACACAAAGTAGGAATAAGAGCCTCCGGAAAAGGGCGCTTTTTCCGGAGGATCGGGGCCAGTGTAGACGCTCTTTTCCGGCTTTTCTAAAAGCCGGAAAAAAGCGGCGGACATTTTTATTTAAATGCCGCGGGGGATATTTAAATCCCCCGCGGATTTCCCTACTACGATAGCTGAAATTAACATGCCCCTTTCGGAAAAGGGGCCAGTGTAGACGAGCCCCTGGGGTACAATCCTATTGACATTCTCAGAGCACATGTACAGGATGGGGCATGGCACACAGAGGGTATGTGTGTGAACATGCATCCAGAATACCCCATTGTCTAGCAGTTAGGGATCTCACCTCGGATATGGGCAACTAGTTTCAAATGCTTGCTCTCGTGAATTTTTACGATTTGTAATACTGCAGTGCCTAGAATATCTAATGCTAACCACTGTACAAACACAGAACAAAAATAGAACAGTGCAGACAGGAAAAAGACCATGAGAGGGACCTACCCCAGACTAGTCGATAGCCAGTGGTGAGTGTCCTCACGTGGCATGTGGGAGACCTGTTGGAGCTGTTCAGGTCCTTGTTCCAAAAAGAAGCAGAGGAGAGATTTGAATCCAGGTGTTTCACATCTGAGGCGAGTACTCTGGCTACTGGGAGGAGTCTTCTGGTTTTACATCTGGTGGGGCATGGGCTGTTGAAGTGGCTGAGCTGGTTTAGGCAACTAATTCCAGGAAATGATTCACAACTGAGACTACTGAACATAGACAGGCATCTCACTTCACTCCTGACAGTCTGGTGTCTAGAGGCCTTCATATTTTTGTGCTTTTAGCACATAGACAAATGCCATATGTGCAAAGGAAGAATTGGCTTTAATGACATTAATGGTATCACTTTAATCTTCTGTAGAACTTCAGCCACTATAAGCAGTGTTACACATAAACCGTTCAAAGTATTACAGACTGTGATGTGGTAATTGGGAGGCAAAAAGAAAATATGAGGGAAATCTTGAAAAAAAAAAATCTCTACTGTCATCACCTCGAAAAGGAAGACCAGTTTTCATATACTGACATTACAGATGAGCATTTTGAATTAATAAATGGAAACATTTAAAAAGAATTGTAGTTTTGTTGCTTAGAGAGTTGCTAGCTAAGATCCACTGTGCTTTTGTGTATGAGCTTGATGCTTCATATCTGTTTCTTTTTTCACATAGCTTGCATTTGGAACTGTGCTTTTTGAAAGCATTGCTTGCTTGATGTATGACTGCCTGGACTGGAAAAGACAACATCAGCACTACTTGGAAAGCACCAAGTTTATTAATGTCCCTGTAATAACGAAGACCAAACAGGTACAACCTTCTGCAGTTTATGAAGGGATGCTTTGCTATAGGCCATGATTCTGAAGAGTAATTAGATACTATTTAAGTGAACCTGCATATTTTAACTTGCAAAAAAATCTAACCCAGGCCATTTAATACTTATATGACCTTGTGTAAGTGAGAATCAGTCCCTTTGTCTTAACTGTTAGTCTCAAAATTGAAAACAAACTACAAAACCGCCACCAGCTTGAGAATCAGAAAAAGAAAACTTTTTTTTAAAATGCAAAGATAGTCTAATATAGCAATAAACAGTTGATACTGAAATTCAGATTCTATCTGTCTTGTGCCAAGGCAGACTACTGTGCCCACACAAAACTTGGGTCTCACTACTTGCAGCAGTATACCTACACACAAGAAGATTAAGTATCAAGGCCTTGGTTCTAATCATCTACCTCTGAAATCTAATAGGGAATGTGTTAGGTGAACACTAGAACTGAATTATCTTCTCTGCTTTTTATTTGAGACATCAAGAAAGCCTTCTTGCCACCAGACTCTTAAAAGAATATTGTTCATGATATTTCATGTACGTTTGGAAGGAAAAGGTCAGAGGTGGAAAAAGACTTGCAGCAAATCCTGTCTTGAGTAAAATACACTTTTTGTGTTTAATATATAGCATATGGCATTTTAAATTAATTCTAAAATATAAATGTTTTTAAAAATATTTTCCAAACACACACTCAGTCATGAGTAAATGCTATAATTACCATTCCAGCAGAAAAGCCAGATTTAGACCTCTATCCTGAAAGTACTGTATCTGAGCCTTGCTCTGCACTTATACACATCTCCATTGTCATGTGATTGTCACAGAGTGGAGGTATCCTGTCCAGTGCAGGGTGAGTGCACCCCATGAATAAGTACCGGCCTTCCCTTGGCCTCAGGACAGTCAGGCCTAGTCAAAAGAGTTATCCCGCTCAAGGCTGTCAGGCCAACCAACTGAAGCCAATAGAAATGTTCTGTCTCTCAGGCCTAGTGACCAGAGTCAATAGGGATGCCCTGACTCTGAAACATACCAGACATTCAAGGAATGGGGACCCAGGGCCACCCTTCTCTACCAAATCCTGGCACAGTTTTAGTTTAATTCTTCAGTTCAGAAACATCCAGTATTTTGATTTGATATTTTACATCTGCTTCAATACTTTCATATATATGCATGCATAGAAACATCATTGAGATAAAAGGAGTTGCGTTTTTTCAATGGACAGATATGATATCCAACTACAGTGTATTTTGTCCCTATGTGTCTCTGGACATCCCTTTGATGTGCCTAACTCCCTCAGTTAGACAGGAAAAGGGAACCTAATTTAAATAATTTGTAATTTGTTTATTTTTCAACTAATTTTTTTCAAACACTGGAAAACCTGATGAGGTACCAAAATTGATATTTTAAAATTGTCGTTTTTCTCCATTCCCACTCCTCTCTTTCCCCAGCTTCATGAGAGGGGCAGGATTTAGGATACCCTGTGTCACCATCATCTCTCATTTGCTATCATAGGCAACTTCCTGTCTAGCATGCTGGCTTTTATTAATCTCATTTAAGGTGCTCTCCCAATTCATTGTATAAGAAAGCTAGGCAACTCATTTAGCTTTTATGGATCCTAATGTTCTTCCAGTGATTCTTTAAGTGCCTAAAATTACAAATTGCAACTCTCTGATTACTAATCCCCTTATAGATCTAGGCCTCAGCGTTCACAAGTAGCAAATCTAACCAAGCTACTTTTTTCTGTGTGTGTTTGAGCAGTATTTTTTTTCCTTTAGGCACAAAAAGTTCCTTCAACTATCCCTTCAAAGAAGAAAGTACAAACAGAAGAAATTCTAGTACCAGCAATTCTATCACAGGGTATGTGGGAAGGATTAACACACTGTAATGAATATCTAATTCCTTGAGCAATTTTCTATCTTCTCATCAATGATCATGTTTACACTGCTTTTTGAAGTTAATTGTGGAATAGTATAAAAGATTGAATGGATGTTGTTTAAGTTTCGCTTGGGGCAAATAAATAATCTAAGTTGCAATGCATTGCAATTGCAATGGTAGCGACTGAATTTTTCGGAGAATGGCTTTGCTGGTTTGAATATTTCTGCCATGCTAGCTAGCAAGCACACTAGGCACTGGGGGATATAACCGCAGAACTAATCATTTTTTTTGAAGCCACGACAACCTTCAAAGCATGGATGGACATTGGGGGGGTGGGACCAGCAGCAGCTCCTCTCTGCAGCACCCAGATGTTGCTCCTAAACAGCTGTTCCCCGAATCAGCAAGATGTGCTGTGTTTGTGTTTGCACTGGAACTGTCAGTAGGGATTGGCTCCTGGCACCATGAGGCCTCCTCAGGGGCCCAGGCAGCACCTTTGGAGATAGGAGGTACTGATGTGCATGATGTCACAGGCAGCTCTTGTCAGTGTAGGTGGCTGCAATGTTCAGTTGCTCAAAGCTCCCCTGGGCAGCTGCCCTATTCATGCCCATCAAGGCACAGGGAGCCTGGGACTCTGCAAGCAGACCATGAGTTCCTGATCCACCTTCCCTGAAATGGCCTCTCTCTAGAGGGCCAAAGGAGGCAAGGAAATAGATTAGTTTGTCAGAGACTGGTTTGTTGGTGGCTGCACCAAAAATGTGTTTTGACAACCCCAAGTTGTAGTAAATTGTTGCAGTGGACACAAACCCTAAGTCTCCATCTTCGGTGAGCATGCGGTAGCCTATGGTCCTTCAACTCAACTTTCCCTGCAGTTACAGCTCCTAGTGAAAAAATAGTATGTGATCATAGTAAGGTGGTATTATAGTGCATATGCACAAGAAGGCTCAATTTCCTATTTTCGAGTGATTGGTTTTGCAAACTGTCTGTTCTTTCAACATACCTTTTGTGTGTAATTATTTATTGACTTAGATTTGTTGTTTATGGGTAACAACTATGACCACGGGGAATAAATTTATACAACTAGGCTACGTCTAGACTGGCATGATTTTCCGGAAATGCTTTTAACGGAAAAGTTTTCCGTTAAAAGCATTTTCGGAAAAGAGCGTCTAGATTGGCACGGATGCTTTTTCTCAAAAGCACTTTTTGCGGAAAAGCGTCTGTGGCCAATCTAGACACGCTTTTCCGCAAAAAAGCCCCGATCGCCATTTTCGCGATCAGGGCTTTTTTGCGGAAAACAAATCTCAGCTGTCTACACTGGCACTTCTGCGCAAAAGTTTTGCGCAACAGGGACTTTTGCCTGAACGGAAGCAGCATAGTATTTCCGCAAAAAGCACTGATTTCAGTAGGAAGTCAGTGCTTTTGCGGAAATTCAAGCAGCCAGTGTAGACAGCTGGCAAGTTTTTCCGGAAAAGCAGCTGATTTTCCGGAAAAACTGGCCAGTCTAGACACAGCCCTAGTGTATTGCCTGGCTACAAAGTGGTATACTTGGTTGGTTGGTTGGTTGGTTGGTTGGTTGGTTGGTTGGTTGGTTGGTTGGTTGGTTTGTTTATTTGTTTGTTTGTTGTTATGTTGTCTAATTATATTTAAAACATTAAAAAGAACAACCATTCTCAACAATCTGCATAAATTACACTGTTGACACAGTCCTTACACTGTGACAATTAGTCTCTCAGCTGATGTAAACTAATTTAGCTACTGTGACAATGGGACTTATCACTGTGCCACCTCCTGCTGGCTGTCCTGGGGATTAGCTCTGTATGTCAGTGCACCCTCTTCTGGTGATGTCTTGCCACCATCACTTTTGCTCCAAAGAGCCACACCACTCCCAGGACTGTGGCAACCTATTCATGACACAACCCTCTGGGCATGTCACATGCCATGTTTCCTCCTTCCAGCGGACTGTATTGCAGTTACTCTTTCCAGACACTTTCTTGGTGGTGAGTAGAGGTGGGAAAACCCAGACCTGCCCACTATTCTGGATCCCGGCCCAGGGCCATTTGCTGTACCTGTCCAACTCCTTTGTAGATCTCCTTAGGTCATTTCCTCACAGCCTCAGCATCCTCTTTGGTCCTGCCTCGGGGCCTGATTTTGCAGATCCCTGCAGCCTGCCAGGAGATGCCTTTAGCTCTCTGGATGTCTGCCTGCAGCACTGCTATGTCCACTGCAAGGCAGCCAGTCTTCCTCCCTTCTCAAGTTCCAAGGAGTGACTTGAGCTGCTCTGTACTGCAGCTTTTCTTATATGTGCTTGCTCGGCCCTAAATGGATGCTTGTATATGTCCTTTTGTGACGTATAACTGCTTCCTGAGCAAGGAGGGGCAAGGAGGGGTACAGAACTGAGGAAATAGGGAGGGAGGTTTGGCGGGTTTCAGTGAGGAGAGAAGTAAAAATGGAGATAGATGGTAGGGGAGGGGAGAGGGATTGAGAGTGAAGGTGAGGGAAGTATGGCTCCCCCAGCCCTGCCACTGCATTTCAACTCCCATACGTTCCAGTTTGGCTATCACACCCCAACTTTCCTGCACTCAACCATTCTGCATCCCCAGCTCTTCCAGTGCATCTCAATCACCCTGCACCCTATCATGGCCTGAGACAAAATGTGTTCCTACATCTATCATTCAAGTTTAGCTTCTACCATTAAATTTAGTTATTTACATCTTTCTTTTAAATGTTTTATTTTCTTAGATTGGTTTGTTTTGTACTTCTTTCCCCTTTAGAATGGTCCATTTTCAAGCTCTCCCTCATCTCTGGTGTATGCAAGGATCTGCAAGAATCAAGCATTGCCTCAACCACTTCTATCTGCTTGGTGGCATGCATTCCTTGTTTCTTGGTATAACCACTGTTTGGTGGATATGAATATCCCTAAAAAGTGTACATCTGTTCAGCTTTTAAAAGCAGATCTAGGAAGAACTGGGAGAGGAATTAAGCTCTTGATGATAGAGCATTCCCTCTAGCTGGCCTCAGATCCAGGCCAGGAGAACCTCCTCCCCATATATCAGACTCTATGTGAGCACCGCATCAACATCTGCATCGTGTAGAAGACCTTTAGGGGACAGATCATCAGAGTATGTAGGGAGGATTCATAAGAGAAGTAATTCTCACAAGGAGCCTATTTCAAAAAAACCTCAGTCTTCTCAAGATAAGATGGTATTGGGGAGCTCAGGTATTGCTGAGGCTCCAGGTCTTGTTGATACCAGTTCTGCATCTAGGGCCCTGAGCCTTAAGAATCATGGTACATATATGTTGCAGTACTGAAAACATCCTTGGTACTGTACAAGTATGATCATGCTGTGAAAAAGTCTAAATGCTATACATCTAAGGTAGTACCTACAGTCCCTTAATCATATCTGGTACATAAATGAGTGACTCAGTTTCTTTTCGCATGGCAAGAACATAGCACCTCAGTGCCCCCTATGCAACCTTTTTCTTTGGTACTAGTGACTTGCACCAGACAGGACCCACCTAAAAAGACTCTGCCCTCAGTACTAACCTTGCTCTGTGTCAGCTCAAATCTATCTGGTACCACAAGAATTTAGAAATCAAGAAACTAATTTGTCTCAGACAAATTAGAGTCTTCTCTTTTAGTGGAGCTTCTGTAATTATGGAGATTGGCATAGTGATTGAGATTAGACCTTTATGCAGCATCATTTGATTCTCCAACAGCTTTTAAGTTTGGCATTTATGTGGAGTTCTCTTTGGATTCCCAAATCTCAGTGCAGGGGTCCCCTGCTTACCAACAGGGGAACACCCTTGTTTGCATCTTTTTGGAAAGAGCGGAGCTGCAAGTGAGGCAATCTTGTATCTCTTCTCATTGATTCAAGCCACATTGGACGTCCCTTCCTATGACCTATAGCAGTGTTTCCCAAATGGTGTTCTGCGGAACCTAGGGGTTCCTCGATGTGAACATAAGGGTTCAGTGAGAAAATTCCATTACAATAACATTTTATGATTTAAAAAATAATATTTTTGTACACATTAAATGTGATGTTTTTAATTATGTGAAATTAAACTAATTGTAGATCTCATGACCTTGTTTAGCATTATTCAGTTTATTATCCTTACTTATTTATGGTCTACTTTTTCAGCTCCAAATCTAAGACTGTTATTAGGGGTTCCGCAAAATTATTTTGAGTTTAAAAGGGTTCCATTGCCAAATGAAACTGGGAAACACTGACCTATAGGCTTCCTTAGTGGCCAAATTGGGATCTCTGGGCTGCCTACTAAAAGCAATTTTCATAAGCCCGTAGTCTTTCTTGGGGGACCACTAAGGGAGACAGTCTCCTACTCCATCTGTTCATCCTCTAACCTCCCAATCACAGGAATCTTTTGAGGAACAAGAGACCAGAACAGACACGGAAGTTACTCCATAAACTAATATCTCCTCATCTTGTCCAGTTGAGGAGGTTATGCCTCCTCTGTCTTCTCTAGCAGATTGTTTAAAATGATGTCAATAACTAATTAAATATATACGAGATTTCTTACAGATTCCCTTAAAGGAAATCCAAGAGTAACAACACAGTCTTCTAGATATCTTGCAAGGGATACCATCTCCTCAAGTGGATTTACTAATAAAAGAGGCCCCCTCAGATTCTGCCAAGACCTTCTAGCAGATCTTGGTAATGAATCCACTGATGTGCAAATGTGCCAATAAAAAGTATTATGTTCCAGCCACAAATTCTGAATTTTTATTTTCACATCCTTCATCTAAATCCCTAGTTGAGAAACTCCATGCTAAATTAGCACCATATAAGAAGGACCAAAAATACTTTGACCTTTTTGGCTGTTAAAGGTATTCATTTGCAAACTTGCAGTTTAGGATTGCAGATTATGGTCTTATAGCAAGATATTGCTGTGCCATTTATTTTAAGTTCATCACCTCTACTGAGAACTTCCACCAAAACATCACAAGAAATTCCAGCCTGTTATTACTG